AAGATGCAGACCATGGCGGGCCTTGGAACTCATAAAGGCTGCCTTCTGAGTGAAGTGGGAAGAAGCGCCCCCAGCAGCAGGAGCTGGAACGCAAGTTGTCTGCTATGCAGCCTGGGGAGTCTCCCCAGAGTCCGAGTCAGGCACTGAGAGGATCATGACATATGACGCACCCAAGAATTTCAGGAGACTTAAGTATGAAGCCAAGCTAAAGGTTATTAAGGAAAAGGAGAACACACATTCACAAAGAGTGATGTGGGTGTAAATAGAGATATACGCTAAGTGTCCTAAGAATAGCTATATGTGGTACTTTGTGGGTTTTGAAGCTAATTAAAATTATTGATTACATTGTTCTAAGCACATAATTTATTGCTAGTTTTAAGAATTAGGATTTTTAAATGATGGAGAGTGAGCCAGTACATTTACTTCTCCTATCTAAACAAACTCCCCCATATGCTTTGCACATCACGGGGTTGTGGGTGAGAAGAGTGCTTGTGAAATGAAAACTCAGAAGTCGCAGGGTTTAGGATGTCTTGACCTTAACACTGCCCATTGGCTGTGCTAACTCTCTAACTGCAGACCTTTCTCAGAAAACAGAGTAAGTCTTCTGCAGGTGGCTTTGCGATGTGTTGAAATGCTTGCCCTTCAGCAAAAGACACAAACAAGATCCAGGGAGCTGAGGGTCTTTGTTCCTTTCTCATGCCCCCTTAACTTTCCACATGTTTCTCTCCCACCTCAGCACTGTGGAGTTTTTACTGGAGGAATGACATAATCTGACTTAATTTGAAGGGATCGCAAGCTGGTGTGTTGGGGAAAGGTGAGAACCAGGGGAGCTTGTTAGAAGCAGGCCTTTGTAGTCCAGGTGGGAGAGAACAGCTGCTCTAGCCAGGGGCAGAAGTGGAGTCGGGTTCTGAATAACTTCCTCATAGAGTGGATATGAGATATGAAAGAGAGAAATCGTGATTCCAGGATTTTAAGCGTGAGTGGTTTGGGAAATGAACTTGTCATCACCTGAGAGGTAGACACCTTTGTTGGAAACAGGATGTGGGAGGAGGGTCTGGATTGATTAGAGACATTTTATTTTGAAATGCCTATTGGGCATTCATTGGAGTTTTTAAAGAAAGAATTCAGAGTTTGGAAGAGGGATTGGAATTTAAGATAAAAAAAATTTAGAAGTAAAAAATATATTAATACAATCTAAGGCTTTTGTGGCTAGTAAGCCACTGTGCTGGCTAGTCTTAAGTCAATTTGACACACAAACTAGAGAAACTCTGCTGTGGGATGTTAATGTATGTCCTGTGGGAGCCCTTCTTGGGTTCCTTGTGGCGTTACCCAGCAGGTTTGCATAGAGGATGATTAGGACCATGGGCCTGAGTGCAGGTGTCTGAGATGGTCTGCACTTGGCTGTACTGGGTGATGGTCTGTATGTCAAGTTGCTCTGATTGGTCAATAAATAAAACCTGATTGGTCGTGGCTAGGCAGGAAGTATAGGCGGGACTAATAGAGGAGAAATAAAAGAACAGGAAGGCAGAAGGAGACGCTGCCAGCCACTGTCAGGACAAGCAGCATGTGAAGATGCTGGTAAGCCACGAGCCACGTAGCAAGATATAGATTTGTAGAAATGCGTTACTTTAAGATATAAGAATAGTTAACAAGAAGCCTGCCACGGCCATACAGTTTGTAAGCAATATAAGTCTCTGTGTTTACTTGGTTGGGTCTGAGCGGCTGTGGGACTGGCGGGTGACAGAGATTTGTCCTGACTGTGGGCAAGGCAGGAAAACTCTAGCTACAAAACTCAATTGAGCAGATGCCTCCATAAGATCCAGCTGCAGGACATTTTTGTAATTAGTGATTGATGGGGGAGGGCCTAGCCCACTATGGGTGGTGCCATCCCTGGGCTGGTGGTCCTGGGTTCTAGAAGAAAGCAGGCTGAGCAAGTCAGGGGAAGCAAGTCAGTAAGCAGCATCCCTCCATGGCCTCTGCATCAGCTCCTGCCTGTAGGTTCCTGCTCTGTTTGAGTTCCTGTTCTGACTTCCTTTGATGATAAACAGCAACATGGAAGTATAAGTCAAATAAATCCTTTCCTCCCCAACTTGCTTTTTGGTCATGGTGCTTCATCCCTGCAATAGAAACCCTAACTAAGACATTCACTAAGGGAGTGAGTATAGATAGAGATAAGTACCAAAGATGGAGCTGACCATCTCACAGAAGATGGTCAGAGGGAGTAGTCAGGACAAACTTAGCTTGGATTGGGAGAAAATAAGAGGAAAATGGGAGAAATATGTGTGTCATTTGAGGAATTTTGATGAAGGAATAAGAAAGACCTTGTAGTTCCTGAGAGGGATTTTAAAAAAAATGTTGTTCTCCTGGTGTCCTCTGTCCCCTCTGACTCCTACAATCTTTCCTCCCCATCTTCTACAAACATGGCCCACCAAATAAACTAAGAGGGCTTACATGGGCTCACAAGTAGAAAGCATGAGGCCTACATGGGTCTGCACTAGGACCTCTGCTTATATGTTATGGCTGTTAGTTTAGTGTTTTTGTAAGATTCCTAAAAGTGGGGGCGAGTGTATCTCTGACTCTTCGCCTGCTCTTGGGACCCTTTTCCTCCTATTGGGTTGCCTTGTCTAGCCTTGACATGCGGGCTTTTGTTTTGTCTTATTGTATATTGTTTTGTTCTGTTTGGACCATTTCTTGGAGGTCTACTCTTTTCTGAAAACTGTGGGTGGGGGCAAGGACCTGGGGTTGAGGGGTGTTGGTGAGGTGCTGGGAAGGAGTGGAAGGAAAGAAAACTGTGGTTGGGATATATTGTATGAGAAAAAAAAATCTATGTTCAATGAAAATTTAAAAAAATTAAAAAACAATTAAACCTAAATTTGAAATGTTGCTTTATCCCTTGAGACAGGAAATATAACAGTGAGTGCTGTTTGAAGTGACACACTAGACCAAAGGGGGAGGAAATGGATGGTTCTAGAGAAAGGGAAGACATCACTAAAGTGCTTGTCCTTTATCAGGTAGTGCAAGATGGATCAACAGGCACAAACAGAGGGACTGGCACAGACACCGTGGCATGGAGTGAAAACTGACAACACAGAGGAATGTGCAGGTGCTGATGATATGAGACACCACAGTGGGCTTCTGGGGTCTTCTCCCATGATGGCTCCATCTTTTCCTCAAAAAAATGTTAGAGACAAAGTCATAGTTTGCAATTATTTGCTTTTAATCGTGTTACAGCTACTGCCATGTTGAATAGAGCTTTGAGAGTGGTCGGAAGCTTTCTCACAGGAGACACCATTCAGCTGAGCTAGCTGCAGGGATTAAGTGTAAGGATCCCATATATAAGGACACTGAACAACAGAACAATTTAGACAGGGAATTGAGCACAGAGAGAACAGAGAGAATGCTGGATGGTATTATACTTAGGACCATAGTATGTGATTGCCTGAACATAATTCAGTATCTAACGGCTTTATTAGAATAGAATATTATTTTTGGATTTGACTATTGTGGTTAAAGTTAAGAATATAACTAGAAGAGAAAGTTCCTGATTGGGAGGGGAAATGAGCTAGTCTTTGATATTTAACTGCAAATTTCCTTCAAGCTACAACACTAGGAAAGGATTCCAGAGAAAACATTTGGAGTAAGGTTGTATCTCTTTGAACAGAGCATGCATAAGAGATTATAAAACAAAGTGAGAAAAACATGCGTGATGCATACATCAACATTTAACAGTACCAACATTTATTAAGAAGATGATGAAGGACCAAGTAAAACAATCTCATAGAACTCAAGGACCAGAGAGATTTAAAAGTGAACAGGAATAGAGAATTTAATTAGCCAGTCACCAAGTGAGATATATTTATCATCACACACACACACACACACACACACACACACACACACACACACACACGTTTCAGAGAATGTTTATCGTATACTCAGATCTGAATGGAGACTTCTTGACAAGCTTCATTTACACTGAAGTTTAATAATGACTATCTTTCTTGGTAACTACTCCAACTGACATCAAAGAGCCTTCATCCGACACTGTCTGATAGAAACAGATACAGAGAGCTAAAGCCAAGCATTGAGCTGAGCTCAAGGAATTCTGTTGAAGACAGGGAAGAAGGATTGTATGAGCCAGGGGGATCATGGTTATCACAAGGGAACCCACAGAAACAACTAACCTGGGCTCATAGGAGCTCACAGACTCTGGACCGACAGCTAGGAAGCCTGCATGACCTAGGGCCTCTACATGTGTGTGACAGTTGTGTCGCTTGATCTACTGTGTGACTACTAACAATGGGAGCAGGGGCTGTCCCTAACACTTTGTCTGGCTTTCAGGGACCTAGTCCTTATATTGGGTTGCCTGCCCAGCCTTAATACAAGGGGAGGAGCTTAGTCCTACCTCACCTTGATACGCTGTGCTTTGTTGACACTCATGGGAGGCCTGCCTCTTTCTGAACAAAGAACAAAGGAGAAGTGGATTAGGGCTCACTGGGGGAGGGGAGTGGGAGGGACAGAGTGGGAAGAGAGGAGGGAGGGAAAACTGCAGTCGGGATATAAAGTAAATAAATAAATTGATTTAATCATCATAAAAGAAAAAAAATAATGACTGTCTTTCTAGGAATGAAGGAGGAAACACTGTCTGATGTTATTTAGTCAGTGCAAATGGGCGTGGTAGGAGGGAGGGTGGTCTGAAGGCCTTCACACAGCTCTTCATAACACTCCATCACTAACCACTGCTGGGTTGCTCTTCACCTCCGGAAACAACCACTGTGTTGCCTTAGTGCGCCCTCGCTACCACCACCCATTCACCATGAGCGAGGGGCTGTGGATTAAAAAATAGAGACAAGAAACAGCGAGTCATTCACCACAGCAGAATGCCGAATGCCCTTTATTGAAAGAGGGAGGAAACCTTAAATACAGGCTTACAGCACAATGGTGGAACCCTGGAGGGTAGAAGTTCTGTACCGAATGTTCTACATTCTTGCATCTAAGCTGTTTACACCAACTGAAGAAGGAAACCTTCAGGGAATCAGCATAGGGAGGCATCTGGTCAAGGTCAGCAAGCAGGCAACAGTTTACTCTAGATGGGAGGGTCAGGGCCCTACACCACTGGAAACTTGTTTTAATTCTGTGTTGGTGCTCCTTACAACTGCATTCTGCTTATGTGTTTGTGGCTACAAAGACCTCTGTCCACCCGTCTGTTAAGTCTGTTTTGCATGTGAACGCTGATATGTGCTTGGCAGATGTGTCCATGATTTGCACAGCCTGTTACAATTTTTCTACTGCATTCACCATCACTGAGTGGGTTTTGCTCACACATAGCAATCTCATGCCAAGACTGCCTTCCTCTGTACATGTTTTTGTATCACGGGGTGTGTCTATAGAATTTTGTGGTTTCTAAGGCACATTCATATTTAAATTTACCTCTCACAGCAATTCTTAACATTTCCATTTTATGAAAGAGAAAAACTGATTAAAAACCAAATGATTTACCAAAAGTCATATAGTTAATGTGATTAAAAAAAAAAAAAAAAAAAGAGTGGTCCTTGATGCTGTTATTCTCTTGTCCACGCTGTAATACTGCCCCGAGAGTTTTACGTGTTAATTCACATTATAACTCCTTTAGACCCGACAGCAAACTCACACAGGACATGCTGTCAGTGCCCTCTTTTTATAAATGAAAAATGTATCTGTATATATCACAGGTCACATAGCTCCTAAATACAAAGAGACTGAAACTCCAATTGCCATCTGGTTTTGTCCAATATATTCTATATTGTGCATCTTGTGCTAAAAATGCAGCAGGAAAGCCTTCCCCCAGCACCTGCTGCTAGACACTACCTCACTCCTTGGACGTCCTTCTAGTCCACCTTTGCAGTTTTAAGTCCCTGGAAGTGAAACAGTACAATACTGACTGTACTAAAGCCTAACTAATAAGACCCCGATTGTTCCCAACAATGTCCAATGCTACTCAGCTATGAGTGTGAGTTGGCACCCCACCTCCCTCCCAATCCCCACACCCCATTCTTGGTGATTGGTCATGTTGGGAACTTCCATTCTTTCACCACACTATCCAATTTGATGCCAGAATGACTTACTATTATTATCCATAATTCTGTCTTGATTTTTTTTTGTAAAAACTTCGGACAGCAATCTTACATGGGAGACTTTATTTACTCTGCAGTTTTACAGATCAGGAAAGTGGAGGTGAAAAGGCTCAGTGACTTGGGGCACAGTTCACAGTAGCAGCTTGAGGACTTGGACGTAGGCATGCAAACCGTGAACCAAAGCCCCTGTTCTTGACCAGCCTCTTGAATTCGTACCTGACCATGAAGTTCATTTCTAGTTCCTCTAAACACAAACAACAAACAAACAAACAAACTTCAGTAAGTATATGCAAGAATCCCCTGCCTGCTTGCCCAGCCCCCTACTTCTATGCTCCCTGCCTGCCACTGGAAACACTTCCTTTCTACCTTACAGCTGATTCTCCTGCCCAAACACCTTCCCGCAGTCTACCGCCACAGGGAGGATGACGTACACTCTTCTTCCTAGTGCACACTGGCTCTGTGGTCAGCCCTGTCTCTCTCGGCTTCTTTATAGCTCTCTTGGATGTTTTATCTGCCTCAGTAACATCAAATCAATGAGGATCTCTCCCACAGGCATGTGCTCCTGACTTCCCCCTCCTGCTTATTTCCCCACCTGTCAGCGTTCTACCTCCCTCCAGGGCTTGCACAAACACCTCTTTCTCTCCTAACTCTTCCCACATGGCTCCAGGTAAAATCAGTTTCTGTTCTGCTTCCCTGTTGTCTCACTGCATTTGACTTGGAATACCTTTATTGTGGCACTTATGCCAATCTGGTTTTTATTAGAGTTATAGTCTGGAGTGTGGACGATACGCCTGTCTCCCTTATTATAGAATGAGTCTTGGAGGGCAGGAGCCACACTGTGTTCCTCTTCATGCCACAGAATCAAGAACAGTGTCCTTGCTGATTGCATGATCTGAATATACTTACGACTTGTATTGTTAGATCATGTTGATAAAAACAGGAGCTTGGTGTATATTGAACCTCTACCCTCTTCTTTCCTAGGTCATGATACATTGTTTATTCTAAATCATTCCTTGAGGACAGGGATACCAATACCCTGGATCAAAAGGAAGGCAGGTAGGAGACACAATTGGAAAGTCTACTTGTGTCCACAAGGGGGAGTAGTCCAGGGCATGCAACAGCTGATCTGGAGAAGTCTGTCACCAAATTATGGTCCTGGTCCTCTCCTCTTTCAACGAACTTTGTGTCCAGGCTGGTTTTCACTGCAGTCTTCGCTCTTGTCACACACACTGCCTGCCACCTTTAGACACCAGTCTGCCCAAGAAGGAAGATGGAGTTTTCGTTTTGTTTTGTTTTAAAACCTTCTAGGCCGAAAAATGCCAAATATCTTTTCTTTCCCTGTGTCCGAGTGGACACCACTTACTTTTCCTGTGTCTCATTTGAAAGCCTGTAGAAAAGCAACAGACCCAGTCTCCACCCTCCCAAGGCAGCTACCAAGTTACCTGAAACTGCATGTTCTGCTTCCACAGTGAGATGAGTAGATGAATTAACTAGTTCTTTAAAGGACTGGAGGGGATCAAGGTGAGCTTCTGGTACTTTCCTCAAATCCTCTCTCCCACCCCCACCTCTCTCTGTCTCTGTCTGTCTGTCTGTCTGTCTGTCTCTCTCTCTCTCTCTCACACACACACATACACACACACACACACACACGATGGGGGGAGAGTGCGTGTGTGTCTTGGCTCACAGGTGGTGGGCAGAGGCTAACACTTTGGAGTTCGCCCCTTCTTTCCACCTTTACATGGGTCCTGGGTATCGAACTCAGGTCACGAGGCTTGCATGGCAAGCACTTGTACACACTGAGTCACCTCACCAGTTCTCTGATACTTTCCTTGATGGGAAGGAAAAATGTCAACAGTTCCCTCATATGGTGGCACACCAATCCAGTCCCCAGCAGGGCTTTCCCTATCGTTAGCTAGGACAGGGTGTCTCAGCAGTGGGACTCCAGCATTTGGGATTGGGTAATTCTTTGAGGTCGGGGTAATCTTATTCTATCTAAAGTCCAATTGGGTAATTAGCAGTATTCTCAGCCTTTCTTGGTGTTTTATGAAAATCTTTTGAAGGATCAATAAGGCATTTGGAATAAGAGGATACCTCTATTGTCAAATCCTCACCCTTCTTCAGCTTTCAGCTGCACACACACACACACACACACACACACACACACACACACACACACACATACTCACACACACTCCTGAGCATACACATGCATGCACAAGCACACACATGCACACACAGCACATTCATGTTCTTTTGCTTCCTGAAAAGCTTACTATGAGCTTCTAAATGAAATGAAGGTCTCTCGTGGGTGATCACTAGGGAGTCCCGAAGAAACTGTCCAATAGCTTGTGTTTCTGTGAAAGGCAGCAGTACATGTTTGTGTTAGATCGGCGTTCAGAATGTTTCTTTATGATGCTTTTCTCTGGTGTTAAACAGCCTGAAGTACCATATGTTTCTTAATAAAAAGCCATGTAAAAACCTACATTAATAAACTCAACTCAAAGAAAAACTGCCCCAAGACAGCTCTAACTTAGCCTTTTTATGGGCTTGCCAACAATTTCAAGATTGTTTTAATGAAAACAAAATTTATGTTTCTGTCTTCATAGACCACAGCACAGCAGTTCCCTTTGCCACCACCCAGTTCACCCTTACCCCACTCACCCCAGCCCCCAAGCCCCGCCAGTTCTCCAGTGCCCTACAGAAGGGTCACTCATACCTTGGCAAGTACGTTGCTGGAAGGGCTGAGCCATCTGGAACCCCTTTTTGCACAGGAGTGTGTGCATGCACATATATGTATACACACACTCATTGGCACTTGCATGATCACATGACCAAATAACCACTTACAAATCCTTGCCTGCTAGCATTCCCAGCCCACTCAGTCTTGTTTGGGTCCTGTGCTATGCAGACTGGGCAGAAGGACTACAGAGCTGATGGCTTTGCAAGGGGAAATTCCTTGGCACCTGGCCTAATAGAGCATGTTTCCAGATTTAAACTCTCAATGTGTTGAATGGGAAATAGCACAGCTTTCAGGCCACCATTCATCATTCTGTATTATAACTGCTTATTTACTCGCTGCTCTTGGCTACTTCATAGAAGGTCTATGAATGTGGGTTAGACCTTGTTGATTACACATAGCCAAACTTAGTATATTGCTGGGTTTATCAATAAGACTTCAATACATATGTACTGATTGATTTGATTACTTTCAAATTCCAGGCTAGCCACAGGATAGCTCTAAATTCATCAAGTTTGTGGATCAAATGAATGAACAGAAAAGACAAGTCAGAGCTACAGTGACAACTGTATGATAAAAACTAATAAACAATGAGCGATCGTGGTCACAGCCTGCTCATGACATTGTAACAAATTACCCCAGACTGCAGTTTTTTCTCTCTTATTAAAAAAATCATACAATACATTCTCATCATACTTTCCCTCCCCTACTTCCTCTCAGATCCTCCCTACCTCTTCATGTGGCCAACTCCACCCCTTTCTTTCTTTCTCTTTAAAAAAATGAACAAAAACAAAAACAAACCACAAACAAAACTCCACCAGAATATACTAGCAAAAGACCAGTAAGACAAAAAAAAAATGTCCAAACAAAGCACTATGAAACAAAAGGTCTATAAAAATACCATTGAGCTTGTTTTGTGCTGGCCAGCTATTTCTGGGCATGGAGTCTACCTGTGGTTAATGTATCCAGAGAATTGCCATTGGAGAAAACTAGTTTTTCTTTGCAAGCAGGCATCAGTTGTAGATAATGTCTTGACTATGGAATGGAGCCCTTGTTCACTTATCCCTTTCAGTTTTGGCTTGAACCTGTATAGGTAGGCCCTATGTATCCTGTCACAGGCTCTGGGGGGTCATATGTGCATCAGTCTTGTGTCTGGAAGACAGTGCTCCTTGGTGTCATCCATTATCTCTGGCTCTTACAATCTTTCCATCTTCTTCTGAATTGCTCCCTGATCCCTGAGGGGAGGAGTTTTATTCCATTTAGGACTGAGTGCTCCAAGGTCTCTCACTCTATGCACATTGTCCAGTTGTGGGTCTCTGTGTTAGTTCCTGTCTACTGCAATAGGAAGCTTCACTGATGAAGTCTGAGTGAGTGAGGCACTGATCTATGGGTAGAGTGGGATGACATTAGGAGTCATTTTATTCCTATGTTTGTTAGGGATTGCATTATTTATAAAGACAGAAATGTTTCTCACTGTTCTGCATGCTGGGAGTCCAAGATCAAAGCACCACAGGGCTACTATTTGTTGCTAGCACGACATTGTTTATCTTGGGAACTTCCAGAGGGAACAAATGCTATGTTCTCACATGACTTATATCGTTCTCTCTAACCTTTTAGCCTCAGCCTCCTTTAAGGCACTAGTATCATTGATGAGGGCTCCATCCTAACCAATGTCATCTCTTAATACTGTTGCTGTGGGGATTCAGATTCAATAGTGATTTTGAACCAGTCAAACCATAGAAATTTTACTTTTGTTATTAGTAGTAAATTTAACTATATGCTCGTGAGACCATTTGCCCCCCCTCATCTTAGTTTTTTAATCCATCAAATGTTTCATGATACATGCCTCCTTACTAAATTACCATGATGAATGAAACACCCAGGACAGGTGCTCAATAAAGCTTACTTTTTCTAGTTCTCCTTTCTGAGTAGAAGTAAAGAGCACTCGTATTTCTACCAGCTACCTGAACTCAAGATCACTGTAGCCTCCTTGGTGAACATATGACATAACCTGTCATTATAAGTAAAAGTGAAGGTGAGAGTCTATAGCAGTTTTGTGTGCTCATAAGGCACGGAAAAGGTGGTACCCAGCTCTATAGGGAATAATTGTGTGTTTAGCATCTTCCCTTTAATTGCTACCTTTTTCATATGTATTTATTTTTGAGAAATACTAGCTTGTTACTACAAAGGTAATATATATATTTAGATATATATAAATATATATTTATATATAAATATATTTATTTATATATTTATTTACAAATATATATTTATATATAAATATATTTATTTATAAATATATATACATGTATATGTATATATACATACATATTTTTAAAAAGGTAGTGGCATTCACTCTTCACAGTTCTAAAGACAGAGGGAAGATATTCCTTAAGTTTGTTGTGTATGGCTGTGGCAGCGAGAAAAGGCATCTTTTTTTGGAGAAGTAAAATTTGGGATACTAGGTTACCATGGCTTGGCATGTCTTAACACATGGAGTTATATTCTAATAAAGCCTTGACTGGGTTCAGTGCTTGTTTCCTTCCTTCCTTCCTTCCTTCCTTCCTTCCTTCCTTCCTTCCTTCCTTCCTTCCTTCCTTCCTTCCTTTCTTCTCTCTCTCTCTCTGTCTCTCTCCCTGTCTCTCCCTCTCTCTCATATGGTATGGAAGACTTCACATGTGGGGTATCTTTTAAATATTTTCCCTTCTTTTAAAATATTTCCACCATTCTCATGTAGAGATAAAAGAGTAGGTATAGTCCTCTGTGGCCACAGAGACAGAGGCAGAACAAAAGATAAAATCTTGGGTCTGCAGCAAAAGGATGTTTCAGTGCCATAATGTTGTAACAGAAGAGAGTTCCTGGCTTAAAGCTGGGGGCTTCAAGAAGTACAGATGTGGTCATTTGAACAGAGATGCTGCACAAGAAGTTCCTGAAATGGGGACTTGGACTAATGGTACATGATCAAACTGCAGTGTCTGGGGCTCTGTGCATGCTGCAAAGCTTCTCTCATTCTTGGCCTGCATGACGACTCAGGCTGGATGGATTCACAGATTCTATCCCAGGATGAGAACAAAGAACCTGATGTTGGTGTGCTGCTGTCTGTGGGGATGACCCCACATAGAATGATGGAGCCCTCCAGTTGCGTGCTCTTCATGGCTGTGCCTTAGCGCTCTTCCCCAGCCCCTTGTCTTGTCCTTTTTCCTTCTTTTATCACCAGGCCAGTTCCCTCCTCTCTCTGGTTTTCATCCACTTGAAAAGGTTCTGACCCTTGACGTCTCTGGACTCCAGGGCACTGCACATGTCCTGACGTTTGTTGGTCTGCTTGGTGTCTGAGTTTCTGCCTTGCCTTGATCTTAATTACAATTTGAACCCAATCCTCACGGACATGAAAATTTACTGCAATAGTTACAGGATTGCCCTGGATTCTCATGCACTTAAATCCTCATTTTTGACCTTCAAATATATTCTTCTATATTGGTGTTAACTATTAAGGGAAAAGATTGTGGCCCCCACATATTGAGGGCTTGGCTCACAGTTTGTGCTCAGTGACAGTGCTCAGTATGGACAGGATTTTAGTTTAGGCTTCCCTTGCTCAGTCACATGGATATGCCCCACCTAATTTAATTTTAAACACATTTCCACATGCTGTGATATTTGCATTATAAGGCTGGGAAGACGCTTCTCTCTTAGATTATCAATATAATGACCTCAGAACTCAGAAAACCTTTTCCAAAAAAAGGCTAACTTACCAGTAAGATATCATTAATATTCAAAAGAGCACAATCCCACACTACACATTTATATCAGAACAAGACAAGCACACAAATCGTGGGGCCCTCAGATTCCACCCATCTGTGAGGTGCAAGCCTGTGGAGTGAATGTGTGATGAAATTCATGAATTTTCAAGTCTAGAAGTCAGTCCAGCAAAGTGAGATCATCTATCCGTGCTGCAGAACTACCGCTCACTACTATGTTCAGCGTTTTTGTTCTGTGTCAGGACAGTCGCTTAAAGAGAAGCAGATAGCATACAGGTTCAGACAGGAGGGCTGTGCAAATGTTTCTGATGAAACCAGAACAACGCATTCTTGTTGGGCAGTGGCCATTTCCTGAAGATGTCCACAAGTCTCACATTCATTGGACCATCTGAAGAGGACTTGAACTAAACCTGATTCCACAGTGTTCAGCTAGACCCAAACCCAAATGTCAATGCTTTAGTAGACTAGACTGAACCAACTTTCCAAGAGGAAGGAAGAGAAACTACTTAAACTGTGTGATTTGAAGCCAAAACTATGTTTTATGAAACTATTGAACTGAAACAAAACCAGATCAAAATATGCTCTGAACTGAATTTAAACTAAACAAATAAATTTTTATTTCTTTCAAATTGAATCCCTGGCTGCAAATAAGACTTGCTTTAGTTCATATGATATTTAATTTGGTGTGTGTGTATGTGTGTGTGTGTGTGTGTAGCTTATCTTGGACAGTTATTTTTCTCAGTATCTGTTCTCACTATTCCAAATAAATAATGATCCCCACCTATGTCAGTAGAGTTACTTTGAGGATTAAACTTAATATGCAAATGTTGTTGCCATTAGTCCTCATCATTGTCAGTTCTACATTATATCCAGCACACAAAGGGTCAATTGTAAGTCCTCCAATATGCCCACTGGCCACTAGAGGGCAGCAAAAAAGTAGAAACCCTTCCTGGAACACATTGGAATTTGCCCTATTTGTAAGGACAAGCAAGAGGGTTTACTATGTGCCAAACACACTGTAAGCCCCGTGGTTACGTTAACATAATTATTCCTTAAAACAATGCAAACAAACAGGTTCTGTTATTATTCCTGTAGATTGGTTATGTGGGTCAGATGAAAAAAGTGAAGCAAAGAGAGGTGAAGAATTTCATCTAAAGTCACACAACCAGAAGCAAAATTAGACACTGCTCATCCCACCCTCCCCTCACCCTCACTCAGGCAATGTGGCTTCGAAACTTACATTCTTACCCTTCATTTCCTTTGGAGATCATGAATGCAAGAAAGACTCCGATCTTGGCATTGTTCACATAAACATGGATGACTGGATCCAAAGATGACCCTGCAGTGTCGTACAATTCAGAGACCAGAGCAAAAAGCATCAAAACCAGGCCCAGAGGCACCTGATGCTGTCACCAGTGCTGTTCAGGATAACTTACGATGGCATCAACCGAGCAGACTAGGGGAAAGTTCAACAAGGAAGAGGGAGGAGATGCAGGGACACAGAAAGAAAATGTTCAGGACCGTTGCCCTTGACGGAAGATAATACAGGCATGGTGGCAGAGTCGGGTTGGCCTGTTCTTCTGAAGTTGCAAGTATGTCTTCAAATTTAAGGAGCCAACACTAGGAAAACCACAGGGAACTGACTCCACTCCACCTCACACCAATTTTCTTTTATTGTTGTTTGCTCATTTTTAAAATGAAAGAATAAAAGAATCTGTGTTTGTAATCACAGCTTTCAAAATAACATTCCGTACTAATTCCCCAGCATTTTGATTTCCTACCCACACTTCAACCACCACAGTGGCTCTTCTACACTTGTTCTTTCACTGGAGCGAAGAACACCTGGTCTGCCAGTCTTCCCCTGAATGCCAAGTCCAACAGCTAGACACTTGGCCATCTTTGCAGGTAAGCCTACAGCACGTGACATCCTTGGCCACTCCTTCACAGAACTCCTAGTCCTGTAATGGTTTGAAATTCCCTGTTGGAAAATCCTCAGCCCAGACCCATTCCCTGCCCCTCTGAGCTCCATGTCTTAGTCTGCTTTGTAGCTCCTTTTGTTAAATAGTGCAAAGCCATCTCATTGGTCTCCCTCTTCCTGGTGTGTGCGTTCCCATTCATCCTTAGCAATTTTATGAATAGAATTTCCTAAATACTAACCTCATTGTGTTTCTCTCTTCCTTCAGGTCATTCATTGGCTCCTGTTTCCTACATCATAAACAATATTCAGCATGCCAGTAAAGATTCCTCTAGGCTCCTTGTCTATAATTCATACACATATGCCTCTATTCTGTGCATATAACTAAAGTTTGAAAGCTTTATTCCCATGCTTTTTTTTCTTTTCATCTTTCCAAACAGTTTAGTCTTCTATAAAGACTACACTGAAATCCTTTCCTATAAACAGAGATGCTTCTGGCCTCTCCAGAGTTCACCAAGACATCTTAGTCATGGGTAACTCACAGCCATATCTTCTGTGTAGATGCTATTCTAACTTAAGCTGCTATCTCCAGAACTTGACACAGAGACACCTAACAAATATCTTGTGAAGAAATGAATTTCCTTAAGTGTAAAGAAAACAGCCAGCAGGGGAGAGCAAGATGCCATAATTAGTATAACCGTGCTTACAAAATGGTCCACAGCTTGAAATGGAATCTTGACTTGGAATCTATCACATCAGTTATTACAGGTCTGAAGGACAGCAGTGATGCTGAAAGCCATAAATTATAAGTCAGATGGGAGTTATCCTATTGGCTTTATTTTGTTATCAATGAGAAGGCAGCAAGAATGTTAATGAGAACCAGCAGGGCCCAGCCCAGCCCCAGGAGCAGCCTATGCAACTGGCTTTCCTCTGTCCTGAACCACTCAGCAGAACAAGTCTTGACAGTTTAACATGGAGCAGAAAATATGCTTTCTGTGTAGGTAACACAGCATTTCACATATATGACTAGACTCATGTGGATCCAACTACTTTGTTTGTTTGCTTTTCTTGCTAAAAAGGGTAGACTGTATCTACCCTGCCTCACTCCCATCTGCTCATTTAGTAGTAATTTAATAGTCTGAGAAAATGTGCATAGGTCACTTCCCCACTTGTTTACTAAAACTTCGGAGAAACACCACTATTGCCTTCATATTGTTCTGGACAGAGAGCAGAAGCAATCTCAGGCAATGCCTGTATGGCATCCTCTCATGTGCTGCGATGAAATGTCTCCCCCAGGCTCCAGTGTTAAGGTTCCTGGATGATGGCAGTGGTTCAGGAGATTGTAGAACCTTTGGGACTGGCTGGGTCACTAGAGATGAACCTTGAAGGCTGTGCCCACTTCTGCTTCCAGCATGTTTTCGCTGCTTCCAGTTATGGCTGTCCTGTGAGAAGCCACCCCACCACAGACCAGCTGCTCCCACCTCCTTACTTTCCCTCCATGGTGAGCCAAATGTGTGAAACCAAAACAACCCCCGCTCCCCTAAGTTCTCTCTGTAGGGCACTTCTGTGTCACAGCGATGAGAACAGAAACAGCTATGCTGAGTACATTTAATCCTGTGATGGTGTGATAAATACTTTTGTCCAGTTCCTTCTCTGTCTTTAACCACTACAATAGCTTCAGATTTGGGGGTAAAGTAGGATGGGGGTGGAACAGAGCAAACTTCTATTCTATCACTCCAAAGGAGCAATGCAGGGCATTTCCCTCTTTCCCAGTGACTGGACTTGCCTCTGGTTTCCACCACAGCTTGGTGATTGCAGGCATCCAACATTCTGGGTTCAAATCCTGATGCTTCAAATTCTCATCCACTAGGCTTTCAGATAACTTATTTAGCATGACAATATGGGGATAGAAACCTTCTCAGAGAGTTATTCTAGTGAGAAAGTGCCTGCAAAGTGCTTGGCGCTGAGCTTGCACCAGCACTTTGTGGAAGCAAGCTCTGGTGATTTTAGTTCTTAGACACTGGATCGGCTGTCAAGGAGGTCCAACTCATCTTAGGCTCAGTGTGCTTTCACATCTGTCCTGCAACCTTTAGAAACCCCAGGATGGCTGTCAGGACGACAATGGCAGAGCCCCAGTCAGCTGATGAGAAAGAGCAGCTCTGCTCTTCACGACTAAAATTAATCTCTTTACCACCGCAAGCCATTTTTGCTTCTATCATCATCACCAAGGCAGTGTTGACTTGGACAAGAGAAGTAAATCATTCTTCATTTGATTATTTGTAAAGTCATCTATCAACAAAATTCAAACCAGCCCCTGCCATCATCAGCTTCTGTTATCAATCTGACACAAACATAGAGTCACCTGGGAAGAGGGAACCTCAAATGAAGAACTGCCCAGATCGCACTGGTCTTTGACCATGTCTGTGAGGCATTTTTTAAAACTGCTAATTGCTTTAGAATGGTCTGGTCCAGTGTGGATGGTGCTATTCCTAGGCAGGTTGGCGTGGCTGAGCAAACCAGAAGAAGCAAGCCAGTAAGCAGCACTCCTCCATGGTCTATGCCTCAGTTCTGCCTCCAGGATCCTGCTGTGGCTTCTATCCATGAAGATAAAATATACCCTTTCCTCCCCAAGTTATTTTTCATTCTGGTTTTTATCACAGCAATAGAAAGCAAACTAATAGACACCTTATTCTGAGTGCTGAGGTTACAAGGGGTTGACAGTGCAGGTCATTGGGTCTGGAGTCCTTTGCCTAACTGCATCCTGCATCTCATATATTAGAGCAAAGTGATAAAAGAAACCACAAGATCATTGAGCCAACTTTCCATATACAAGTCAAAACATTGTTTGATTTTCAAAACTTCAGCTGAATTCTCATTATTGGCCACTAGAAGTTCTTCCTAGATTTTCTTCTCTAAGAAGAAATAATAAAGATGCTTCTGAAGCTGCTCATGAGCACAATCTCCTTTCTGTAGATATACAGAAGACATATGTATAGAGACGCAAGTGGAGAGGAGGAGCATGGGAAGGTTAATAAAGAGGTTTGGAAATCTCCCCAGATTTGAAGCAGTCTCTCATGGGAGATGCTGGAAACCACTACAAGGGTGCTTTTACTAACACATATCACCCAAATGGAAATGAAGAATGTTTTTTAACAATATGAATAATAATATTTTTGAGCCTTTGACTCAAACCTCAATACCAGTATGACATTTAGAGATTGAGTATTAGCCAGAATCACCCAGAAAAACGTGTGTGTGTGTGTGTGTGTGTGTGTGTGTGTGTGTGTGTGTGTGTGCAGATGGATGATACCTAGAAGTCATTGTGAGACTAGTTACTACCTCTCAGCACTGACGGGAGCACATAGAGCAGTAAAGACATGGCAAACTACAGAACAGCTTATTTCTTTCACCCTATATAGGAATCTGTCTTGTGCTCTGCTTTTACTGAAAACATACAGGAGAGAGAATTCTGGGAAATGTAGTCCAGCTTAGCCAAACTGACACTGGGTATCCACCACAGATACAAATCAGACCACCCTGCCCCTAACTTCTGTATAATTTCTTTTTGGGGGAAAATGTTATTTCTTGCCTGGAAAAGTTAAAAGTCTATAGGACAAAGACTTCTTATTTTATCATATTACTACCTTCTCACATTAGTTACAAAATAAAAATAACTAATTATTACAAAAATACTTTCAATATTCAGTATTTTGTTGAATTCTCAAAGCTCATGAAAGATATTGCAAGGGTCATAGTAAAGATCCATCTGTTACAGGAAGACCTCCTGTGTGCTGTGCTTGTGTGTGCATGCAGAAGCACACCAATCTGCTCTCCACAAGCCTCACCCCAGCTTCATGTTTCCTGTATGTTCAGTATTCAGGTCTTGGGATATTTCATATGCCACAAGTGTGCCTGTCCTCACCCTGAGCCCCAGTGGCCTAGAGCTTGAGAGATAATTCTGCCTGACACTGAACCACCTGGAAAGTATCACACCAGGACTGATTGTTGGCTCTTTAAAGTGATATGTCCCCTTAGTTTCTAAATAACTTTAGTGTACTGGGAAATTAGAGGTGACTATTACCATCTTAACCAACTCATTAAAATGAGAAAAAAAAACTTGTAAGGGTTCATCACATGGCAATATTAAATATTTTTCATTATATTTTCTAATAATTCTCAGGTACTGGTAACCATAAAAGCCTTCATAATGTGTTTATTGAGGCTAGTAGTAATCAATGCAGGATGGAATTTTCAATATAACACAGGCAACCCAGATTTGATGAAATTCTGCTCCTTCGCTGGGATATAAACTTGACTCCGTCTTTCAGGCACTGAGGCAGTAAAACATGAGAGAACTTCCTAATGGAAATGAGACTATTCTCATTAAATTAAATGAGACCATTTAATATGGGTGAAAGAGATTTAAAATTCACACACCTCCTGAAAATATGTTCTTGATTTACTTTTTAAAGAGTAAAATTGGTTTAGTAAATATTGCTAGGTATAATAAATCATAAAACATTTAACACCGATTTGTCAAATATAGTTTACATGAACTAGCACTTAAGCGTTATTTATGCCAGACTGAATGAAAGGGCTGATATGTTAGGAGGGGTTTTAGTCAGTTAGGAAACACACAGTGAGCAAAACATTGTTCTGGGTGGTATGTTGGTTATAGAAAATTACACAACATTACATTATCCCCCAAATGCTTATCATCTGGATGGGGTTTTCACCCCAAAATAAAAGGCAAAAGAAAAAGATGAACCTGGACACATCTGTTAGTTTCAGTTAAACCAACCAATGGATATTATCCCTCTGGTCTGATTTTATCCATCTCCCTAGTCGGCTACCATCCATCAAGAAAGATCCTTCCCTGCTACCCCAAACATATCTTCTTCTGTCTTGCATTCTGTTTCTAACATGTTTAAATTAGCTCTACATTTCATATCTTAAATGGCTTCACAATCCTTTCTGGGACTAGCTTTTGATCATTTTTAAAATACAACCATTAGTTACAGTTTATATGTGTGGTTCCCAAGTCACTCTGTGTAACATCCTGATGCAACTTAATTTGTATCCTGGAAATTGTTTCTAATAAGGCTGGTTTGGCTAATGTCATAACCTGTATGTTCTGATAATTATGTAGATTTACAGCTATACCACAGACTATGCATCAATTTCTTCAGAAGTTAGAACAGAAGAAAGGCAACAAAATGACTTGACCAGTCATCTTTTCTAGCATTCTATTAACCTGAAGATCTAGATTGAGAGAGGACTTTCTAGAAGAACTGGAAAAAGTTTCAGTGTGTTCAGACACTTCAGAAACAAAGTCCAGAGATACCTGAGCTGGAACTGACCTGAAGGCCTCCTCCCT